GAATTCCACAGCCAGCATTGCTGGCTGTGGAATTCTGGGAGTTGAAGTCCACATGCCTTAAAATTGTCAAGGTTGAGAAATACTGCAATAGACAATGTTATATGAGAGCCATTTTGGTGTAGGGTTAAAACCTTAGGCTAGGAACTCAGACGGTGAGTGGGAATCCTAGGCAGAAAGTCTGCTGTGGAGGCCTTTGGGTAAGTTCCTCTCCCAGCCCCAGAGGAGAGGAGGCCGGGAGGTCACCCACCTGCCCGTACCTTTCATCTGCAGCTCTGCTTGCCTGGGACTCCTGTCTCTTCCCACATCACCGACAAATGAGGTCCTTACTTAATGATCCAAGTGGTCCTAGAGTTGTAATGGCAACTGGAACTGCCCAGATTCCCCTATGTGAGGTCATGTCACATATCTTTTTATAACCCCATTAAGGGTTATGATAGATCTTCTTCTACCTCCACGGCGAATTCCAGTCGGGATGGGTAGGAGAGGAATGGCTAAGTCCTAGGTTCCTGCAATATGGGGTACCCCGGGGCTGAAGCCTTTTGCTGCTCCTTTTTAACACCTGCATCAACCCTCCCTCTCCCCCTTCCCCCAAGCACTGGGATAAGTGGAGGCATCAGAAGCTTCATTTGTCACCAGGTTTTTGTTTTTATGCATTTGGTTTTAATAGCATGTTTTTTGTGTTAATTTTTGATAGGCAGCTGGCCAGAATTTGTTTTAAGTAACATAGGTGGCTATATAAATGTTTTAATGTTGAATCCAACAAAGGTTCTGATGAAGATGCCCATCTGCAAGTTGCTTGAGGCACAGTGCATTTCTTTATTTATCAAATGTATATGCCGTTCATCCCAGTTAACCTCTCCCATTTAACTCCTTGCAAGGAGAAACAATATCAGTTTCAAGCAAAAATGGCACCAGGCATCAACCTTGTTAGTAAAGCCAGGAGGCCTAGTTAAACTTCTAATTTGAACAAAAGAATCCCCTTTCTGGAATTCCCCGACTATCAAAATGTCATCAACTATGGCCTGTATTTCGAGGCTCTGCATTTTGCCATTTGCAATGTATTCTGTATTAGGGTTCTATTGCTGTAACCGCCTGGAGCCACCATGAGTTGGTCTGCCATAAAAATTTTATTAAATAAAAATACACGCAACCATATTTATATTCTGCCTTTATTACATGTAGAAATAACTCGAGGCAGAAAGCATCCCTCCTCTATCTTCCTCCTATTCTTTCCAGTTCTTTTCTGCAAAGGGTATCCTAGCTGGGGATTTATGGGGCTTGAAAGCTGGAGGACACCCAGGTTGAAGAAGGCTGGAGTTCTATGATCACTGCTGATCAAACAGGAAAAAAAAATCACCCCTAAAGCCCTTTTTGTAGCAATTGTACAATTTCTGCTAAATATTTTGCTAAGATATTTGCATTTGGTAGCTGGAACAGTGGGGTTGTATAGAGCCAGAACACATATTTATAGTTGATTGGTTGGAAAGTACTGGCTCTAGCGTGAGGCAATCTGAGCAATGACTGGTTGCTGTGGGTGTGATGGGAAGGTTTCTCTCCCCCCCAGCCCTTTTCTTCTGTGTGCTGTATTTGATGCTCCTATTTGTCTAACTATCTTGTTTGCTGTAAATATAGACGTAATATATATATATTTATATAAAACTACAAGTTTGTTTCAGCGTCTATGACTTCATTTGGATACCGGCTGCGCAGTTCCCTGACATATCTAGCAAATCCTCACATAACCAGATACATGCACTTAACTTTTATCAAAGTAATATTTTCCAATTTGTTTCTCTCCTCCGTCATGTCTAATATATGTTTGATTAAAAAGAATCTGGTAAGGAATTAACTATTTAATTTCTCAGCTGTATTACCAAACAGAGATCAGAAATGAAATTCATGTCTTCTCTGCGTCCATCTCTTTCTGCACCAAGTGGATTTTCTTATGTGTAGCAAGGGAGGAATTTTGTGTGAAGAATCGTCCACACTCTGTACATTTGAATGGTTTCTCCCCTGTATGTAAACCTACATGATTTATAAGGCTAGACCTAGTACTGAAACCTTTCCCACAGTCAGGACACTCATACGGTTTCTCCCCTGTATGAATCCTCTGGTGGGTCACCAAGCCAGATTTCCAACTAAAACTTTTCCCACAGTCTGAACACTTGTGGGGTTTCTCTCCTGTGTGCAACTTCATGTGGCTGGTAAGATTTGATCTAGTATTGAAGCTTTTCCCACACTCTAGACAATCATGTGGTTTCTCTCTGGTGTGAGTCCTCTGATGTATCATAAGATTGGAATTCCGACTCAAACTTTTCCCACAATCAGGACATTCATACAGTTTGCCTCCTGTGTGAATCCTCTGGTGTATCATCAAGTTGGAATGCCGAGTAAAACTTTTACCACAATCTGGACATTCATACGGTTTCTCTCCTGTATGAGTCCTCTGGTGTATCACCAGGTAAGAGTTCTGACTGAAACTTTTCTCACAATACAGACACTCATACGGTTTCTCTCCTGTGTGCGTCCTCCGGTGTATCACCAAGTCAGAATTTCGAGTGAAATGTTTCCCACAATCTGGACACTCATATGGATTCTCCCCAGTGTGAATCCTCTGGTGTATCACCAGGTCAGAATTCCGCCTGAAACTTTTTCCACAATCCAGACACTTATATGGTTTTTGTCCTGTGTGAATCCTCTGGTGAGTCACCAGGTGGGAAGGCCGACTAAAGCTTTTCCCACAGTCTGGACACTTATATGGTTTCTCTCCTGTGTGAGTCCTCTGGTGTACTACGAGATCAGAATTCCGAATGAAATTTTTTCCACAACGTGTGCACATATACACTTTCTCTCCTGTATGAGTGTTCTGGTGTATCACCAGGTCAGAATTTCGAATGAAACCTTTCCCACAATCTTGACACACATATGGTTTCTCTCCTGTGTGAGTCCTCTGGTGTATCACCAGGTTGGAATTCTGACGGAAACTTTTCCCACAATCCTGACAGACATATGGTTTCTCTCCTGTGTGCGTCCTCTGGTGTATCACCAGGTTGGAATTCTGATTGAAACTTTTCCCACATTCTGGACACTCAAATGGTTTCTCTCCGGTGTGTGTCCGCTTGTGTATCACCAGTGTGGCATGCTTACTGAACTTTTTGCCACACTGTGGGCACTGATAGGGCTTTTCTCCATTATGGGTTCTTTTATGCTCAAAAAGTTGGGAGCTGTAGCAAAAGACTTTGCCGCATTCAGAACATTGGTACGGTTTTTCACCAGTGTGGGTCCTCTCATGCATAATCAACTGTGATTTGCAATCTGCGTTTTTTCCACAATATGTACATCTGTGAAGGTTTTCCACCACTGATAAGCTTGGGTTCTTGAGGAGGTCAAAAATATTTGTGATCCTTTCTTGGATGGTGCTTTGATTCAAGCTGTTTCTTTCCTCACAAGATGGGGCCTGCATTGCTTTCTGGAATGACTGATGCCTCCCCACAGACTTCTAGATATTGCCTCTTTTTTTTAATTTGAAAATGTTCCTCCTTTTATCTTTTCATGTAAAGTTTCCTTGAGTTCCAGATATAATTTTTTTTCCCAGCTCAAAACTTTTTCCTATTTTTTTTTCTCACTTGTTGCTCACTTGATGGGGAAGAAGAGTTTTGTGGCTTTTTGGAGGGAAAGGAAAAGATGTTGATTATCAGATGTAAAGGATTTGCTTCCCTTTTTAGTCCTGCTTCTGATTCTCTGCTGTCCAGAAGGCTCTTCTTAACATTCTCTTTGTCTATAAGATTCACATAAAAGGGTTACTTTAATTACTGTTTATAAAATGGTTGCACAAGATGTGCAAACAAGAAAAAGAAGCATATATTGCAATGAAAAAACAAACATGCCAAAATGACATTAACAGATTAACCGCTAACATGCATTATGACACAAAGCCAGATCCAAGTTCAAATATCCACACAATTGTGAAATTCTCTTGCTAACTTGGGTAAATTACAAAATGCTAGCATTGCAAATTGTTATCATATGTACCAGGAAATACTGCGAGAATAGATTATATAGATACACATATATGTGAAAGAAATACAGAAACATGCCCCTATGCGTGCATGTATGTATGTAGAAAATCCATGCTTTTTCAGTCTGCAAAATGTCTCAGAAATGGGTGCAAAGCATATGCGGGCGTTAACAGAGGAAATGGTGTCCAAAGCCTCTGCAAGATTTAAAGCACCAGTTTTAAGCCCTGGTGGCTCAGTGGTTAGAATGCAGGATTACAGAATAATTCACTGCTCACTGTCAGGGGTTCTTTTTGACCCGCTCAAGGTTGACTCAGCCTTCCATCCATGTGAAGTCAGTAAAATGAGGACCCAGATTATTGGGTGCAATATGCTGACTCTGTAAACCACTCTGTAAACCACTCAGAGAGGGCTGTAAAGCATTATGAAGCAGTATATAAAATCTCTAAGTGCTATTGCTATTTTGCCTATGAATTGCCTCACTTGCCAAGAAAACAACACACTGATAAAAAGCACAAGGAGTCAAAAGTGAAGTAGACTTTTTAAACCTCCCACTCAACATAAAATTGCAGGCAGCTTAAAGCATGCAGCACCA